AAGGGTGGTGGTGGTGGCGATGGTTGGCGGTGATGGTAGCGATAACGATGGTGGTGGTGGCGGCGATAATGGTGGTGGGGGTGATGGCAACGACGGTGATGGCGGTGGTGGTGATGGTGGTGGCAGGGGTGACAGTAGTGGTGGTGGCGACGACAATAATGGTGGCGGCGGTGGCAATGGTGGTGGTGGCGGCGGTGGCAGTGGAGGGTGATAGAGATAGTGGTGAGACGATTTCAAACACTATTTTTTTTAAAGTATTTATGATAAATAATTTTTAAAAGTGCTTTTAAAAATCACTCGAAATACACTCTTAACGGTCTATTTTTTTCCTATTAAATTTAGGATGTTAATATTAGCCGTTAGATTAACTTTAAAGTGAAATTTAAAGCGATCTCAACCACAAATAACAAAAAATTATTTTATTTATCTTTTAAAATTTAAATTTTAAGCTACTAGATTTTTTCCGATATAATGTTAGGTATAAGGTCAACAATTATCAACCCTTCATTAAATTTTCTAAAATTTAAACAACCTGTAACGACCATAAATAAATAACTCCCAAAGTTTCATTTGGAGAGAGAGAGAGAGAGAGAGAGAGAGAGAGAGAGAGAGAGAGAGTAGTTGCTGATGAAAGGGATGTATGGGTACGGAGAGTTACTCCTCCTTACCTTCTACTCAAAAGTGTAAAACTTTAAAAAGGGTAGCCATGCCATGCCCTAGATGTTCTTTTTGATGAAAATTACTCATGCTACTTTAATACCTATTGTTCCCACCTCACATATTAGCTAGAGATTATTACATTTTGGTTTTATTTTACCCAAGCCCCGCGTTTAAATGTAGAATATAATTTTCGATTGATGGGACAAGTTTTATGTATTCAAATTTAGAATAAATGATAAAAATACATTGTTAAATTTAATTGATTTGAGTTTTCTTCACGCGTGGACGTGTCCATTATTAGGTACTTACAACATATTAACAACGTGTCCCTACATAATTTTTTCTCAAAAACATGTAATAAATATGTTGAGATAATAACTTTCAACTTATGGGTTTAAATGCGCCAGCAATTATTTTGTGTAAAAAATGGCAAATGTCAAATCTTTATCCAATTAATCCCACCTAGATCTATGATGAACAATACTTGTAAATTAGAATTTTTTAATTTTTTTCATCATCTTTTTTGAATTGTGGTGTTATGGGCTACCTACCTATGCATGGTTATTACTAATTAAATTTCTAAATCGATCCATAAATAGAATATGGTTCGAGCTTGAAATAAGGAGACGTAGTAAACAAAAAATAGTGCTATTTAGACTTAATTTGTTAACTTAATTCATCATAATCATTGAACTGGTTGTGTGTCCCAACAAATACTGAAATTTATTTTGAATTCAACGCTTATGAATGATTAAGTAATAAAAAATACTTCTTGTTGGATTTATTCTCTTTTGTTTATTTTTTTTCGTGTATGCAAATATATTTATACATGTATAAGTATTCACTTATATATCAATGCCCACATATATTACTTTTGATAAATAATTATTAAATAAGCCAACAATCAACCATATATTGTTGAGCAAAAAAATAATTTAATTGTGAAAATAAATATAAAGTTGATAAAAAAAAAAATAAGAGTGATTTATACTGTATATAAATAATACATTTATATATTAACTAGTCATAACTTGTACATGAAGGTACGATGAAATATAAAATTCGAGCGCTCAAAAAAATCTATTCCACTATATTAAATAATAAAATTTTAAAATACGTAATTCAATAAAACTTTTTCAACATATGTATACTATTATGTATACATAATATTTGAAATAAAAAATATATTCAACTATAAATTAATCAAATATTAAAATAATTGGGCATATGATAGAAATGAGTAATGTGACGTTTTTAAGAGAAAAAATATATACGGGATAAAATTCAAGTTGTCAGTCATCTTATTATATAGATATGTGTATTCCATTACATAAGTGAGTAATTTTGAAAAATTGAATGTCTAGAATAGAAAAAAAAATAAAAACAAAAATATACCAAAGTAATGGTTTAAAAGTACTTTAAAATTTAAAAATAAAAAAAAAATAAGCATGCTTCGTTGCGAGTATATAGGCCTGCAGTTGAATTCGAGACTTGTAGCATTGAAATCCAAACAGTCCCTACTCCCTAGCTAGCTGAATTCTAAGCCTATTACTGTTGAAACATTAAAAACAGTGTAGTAACACATGAGACAATGGGTAATGACAGATGAGACAATGCACTTTGACCATTTTTTGTTTATCTTATTTTTCATTCCCATTTTAATGGATTTGGATATATGCTATCAATTTTTTTTATATTGTATTAAAAAATTATAATTTTTTTAAATTTATTTTGAACACCATAGTTGTAAAAGTCAAATTATATGTTCTCAAGGTGAGTTAAAATTGATTAGAGTTCTTTAACATCGTTCATAAAATATTGTAATCGATTGTGAAGAATTTCAATCGATTTTCGTTTTACATTTAACACGTGTAACTTGACCATTAAAAATTATAACCCAATCTTTAAAAAATAAAATTTCTACGATCGATTTTAATATTTTAAAATCGATCATGCTCGTTGTATTTGTAACTTATATCTCAAAAAAAATTATAATTTAATTTTGAGGTAAAAAATATAATTAATTTCATTTCATTTTTTCCTTATCATTTTGGTTTAGTATGAATCACTTTGACAAATGTACAAAAGAACAAAAAACCAGAAATTCAATACTATCATGCTTGGCTCTAGCATATAATTATGTCAAGATCATGACAGCATTTGTATAATTTATTTGATTATTGTACAAGAAGTTTATCAAATAATCCGCTATATTATTGGCCTTTAAAATATAGTAGGAAAATCTTCTCATTATACCTGTGAAAGAAGGAAATACCATTTTTAACCTCCAATTCAAATAATAAAAAAGTTTAACTTTATTTTACGCTAATTTGATGGTATTCCGATAACATAAATCATGACCCTTAATAGATCACAGTGACAAACACATGAATCATGTTGTCGACCCAAAAAAAAAGTGGGATAAGATTTGTTGAATTGAGTAGATGGTATCCCATACTCTTTAGGCATGTCCATAGAAAGGGACTCAAGTTTAAGTTATTCAGCTTTGTGAAGGGAAGATCCTAGGCAGTTCCTCTATTTGTTGGGATTATGCACTAGTCTTACCTACAAGTATTTAATATCTTTGTATAGAAAGGGATTTCAACAGATTATGGTCTGATATCAGTTGTTAGGGTTGTGTTTGGCAACTCAAAAGATGCATCCTTTAGATAAATATTGTTTGGATATTCACAGAAATTACTTAACTAGAAAACATTGTATAAATAAAAGTGTGTTTGGATGGTAAAAAATGAAAAACACTTATACATATCATAATTCTAATATATATATATACATATATATATATATATATATATATATATTGTAATATATATAGTAGTGGAGATAGTGGCGACAACGGTGGTACCAATGGGATGGTGGTGGAATTGGTCATATTGGATGTGATGGTGGTGAATGCGAAAGAAAAGAAAAATACTTCATCTAATAGTTTTATTCTTATTGAGTGAAGTCCAAGAAAAACTCATTTTTTTACCAACTTTCGAAACCGGCTTGCTACGTACATTTGAATCTTGGAACCAGAGCTTAAAAAAGGTAGAAGAAATGAAATAAGCTACATTTTCGAGGGATTGTAAGAGTATATAACTTTATTTCGAACTGCGGATTTTAAACTTTATTTTCCTCAAAAGTGTTTTTTGTTATATGGAAACTTATTTATTTGCTTATATTTATGAACCTTAAGTGGTAAAAACCACTTCTAACTTATTCAAATTGATATATTATAAATCTAAAAAAACACTCAAAGAGCATCTAAATCTTCTCTACCAAGTAGATTCTTACATATTAGTAGGGATAAAAAGGCAGACAGGTAAATACAAAGGTGTTCTTGGAACCTTAGCTAGTAGCCTACAATGTATTGAAGAAATAACCAAATATTTTTTTCTTTCATAAATGTTGTTGTGTTATCAGGTGCAGTTATGAATGTTGTGTTCCCTTTTGCTGAAATATCTTCATAAAGTTCTTTTAAGTAGTTGTAGTTAGGGTTCATAATACTTACCGCCGATGCAATTAAGGCATAATTTAGAGATATTATAATTACAATCACTTAGATTTTCAATAGGTCATAACAGTGAATTCATTCCACTATCAAATCCTCTGGATTATATTTCTAAATTATTTCCTAATAACATTGGTGTAATACTTAGACAACACCTCAATCTAGTACAAAACGGATGCAAAGTTTTCGAATAAGGATTTAGCATCAACACGTTAGTTCTATAAACTAGTTTGATCCATTTAAAAAATTGGGCAATTCAAATTTAACCAAACATGAAATGAATTCAACTAAATATTATTTATACATACACAACTCTAAACATATTGAGTATTTGATTGAACAAATTTTGACATGATAAAACACAAATTGAAAAGTAAAATTCACAAACATTTGTAGGTCACAATTTTCAAATCTAACAATTATAACTTGTGATGTTATATCTAAATTTTAGAATGTTGGGTGGTAAAGCTTAGTAATTAGTTGTTGACACTTGCCTAAAATATATTTTTACCATTGAATAAGAAAAAGCCCTATTTGGTAAACCTATATAATACCAAAAGGCTAAAGAATTGGAAGAAACGAACCCGCAAAAGTAACCCAAGTGTGAGATTAGACTTGGACAAAATATAAATTTGGGCGTCACGAGTTTAGCTCTTGTTCCGTACCTAATTAATACCTATGAGTAGAAGGTAATTTGCAAGGTATCCCACATTCACTCTAATACGTCAAGTTTAATGTGCCCTTGAGAAGTGACTCGTTAACAAAATAAAATTAAAAAAAAAAAATGGAGCAAACGGACAAATAGAAAAGACGAGGAGGGGACAACGGCGCTGTGTCTGTCCTTTCCCTGATAAGCCCGGTTCTTTGCTCGCATGGGCGTATTATAGATTATGCCCTTGAACTTCGAGATCAGCTTAATCTCTCTATCCCATTCGATTCTCAGTTTCAAAACCCTAACATTCATCAATTTCTCTCTCCAGAAATCAAACTATTGTAAATTCAGCTCAGTTCGGGTAAATTCAACCTCCGTAAATGGCGTTTTCGTAATGCTTCTATGAATTGTTTGAGTCGAAGCTCTAAGAGAGAGAGAAAAAGTAGTGCTACGTGTCTCTGTGTGTGTCCATTTTGAGAGAGAGAGAGAGTACAGGCTTTGAAGTTCGGAAAGTTGAGAAATAGGAAGCAAGAGCACAGGAATTTCGGGAACCAAACTTCGAAGTACTCGTAGGTCTCCTTAAAACTGCTTCGATCTGTTTTCGTACAGCTGATAGGCCGCTTCACTGCTTCAACCTTTTGAAAACTTTTCAGATTGTGAGGTTTTTGGCATTAGACGATGAGAGTGTTGGACATTTTCTTCAATTTGTCATTTTGAATCTTCCAAACCTTTGGATTTCTAACGGAGATGGTACTGTTTTTTGGCTTGTTCATATTTTCAGACTCTCTCTCTCCCTCTCCCTCACCCTCACACACACACACACAAGCACACACAGAATATCTGATCAATTTTGCACACACACATATGCTGGAAGTTGAAAACTGAAAGCTATACATTTGTGAAATTTCTCTTTGATAATTTATGATGTGGCTCAGCTACCTGATCTGCCATGTTAATCTTCTTCATATAGCTCAAACACGCAGATCCAACAGCTGTGGAAGCTTATTTTGTCTTCTAATTGCATCTTCTGAACAGACATCTGGTAATATGTACTCAAACAGAAATAATATATTAAAATAAAAATAAGTGTTTTTGTTTTTATGTTTAATGTGTGGTTGATCTTTAAGCATAGCTACAATAATGTCTGCATTGTCTAGGGTCAGGACAGCCAAACTTCTATTGCAAAAGCCCTCGGAGCTCCCAGATAGATCAATTACAGCCTTCTTTTGCTTTTTTCGTCAACCCAGAAGCTTGAATCTGAGGCTGCAAAAGCTCAGATCAAAGGTAAGTCAATGAGAGAGAGAGAGAGAGAGAGAGAGAGAGAGAGAGAGTGACATAGACGTTTCATTCTCCCTTTTAGCTTTAGGTTTAAGCCTATAACAAAGTCAGATCTTTTTAAGCACTGCCATAAGTTGATGTTTAATTATGGTGCTAGTGAAAATAGTGTAAAAGCAGTGTACGTCTATGAGACTATGGTGTTTCTTTTTTCTTTTTCCGCTACTGTATTTTTTGGGTTCTTGTCATAGTTTTGGGTTTATTGTTTCTACAGAGCAGAGCTGAGAGGGTGTGTCTGAGAAAATTTACAGGCTTTGCTTTTCAAAGCAGCACTGCGAAAAGCTTAAACGGAGCCTCCTCTGACATATTATTACCGGCCTATCTGTGAACGACGGTGATATAACATAGCGTAAAAAACGCCTTTATATCTACCCCTTTATGTGTGCCTCTGTATATATCACTACAAAAGCCAAAGTACTGTGTAATCGTCATCAATGCAAAGGACACCCACATATACACAGTCCACATTCGCCCCACCCACCTGCTCACCCACAGTCCCTCTCTCTCTCCCTCTCCCTCTCCCTCTCCCTCTAATTCAGATTCCACTTAGTTTCTCTCTCTAAACACTTTCCCTCTCTAGAAACTGGGTGGATGCTGGATAAGAAAGAGAGCTAAAGGGGTGTTCTTGTTTTCAGTTTTGTTTCTGAGGCATGAAAGTGCCATGGAATTGGAGGATATTCAAACTAAGTTCCCCAGGATTGACCACAGTAACGGCAGGATTGACTCAAACAAAATAGGGCAAAAAGGGGATGGGAATTACCCAGATGATGAAGACGATGGAGAGACCAAGAGGAACAACGGAGGTGGCGGCGGCAGAGATTTTGGTGTTGGTGGAGTTGGTAGGCTTTGTGGGTGGCCGACATCTCGGATTGTTAGGGTTTCTCGAGCTTCAGGTGGAAAAGATCGGCACAGCAAGGTTTTGACCTCTAAAGGGCTCAGGGACCGGCGTGTTCGCCTCTCCGTCTCCACGGCTATACAATTCTATGATCTTCAAGATCGGCTTGGGTATGATCAGCCCAGCAAGGCTGTAGAGTGGCTTTTGAAGGCAGCAGGTAGTTCCATAGCTGAGCTTCCTTCGATTAACACTTCATTCCCTGATACTCCCAAACAGCTCAGCGATGAAAAGAGGTCTAGTGCTCGTACTGAACATGGGTTTGATTCAGCTGAGGTGGAGTTCGACGGTGATCCTAATTTTCAGCAGCAACAACAGCATGTTTCTTTGTCAAAATCAGCTTGTAGTAGCAATTCAGAGACAAGTAAAGGCTCAGGTTTATCTCTTTCGCGGTCTGAAAACCGCATTAAAGCTCGTGAACGGGCGAGAGAAAGGGCTGCAGAGAAGGAAAAGGAGAAAGAGAACGATTCTAGGGTCGCCCATCACCAGCATGTGAACCCTATTTCCCAAAATTCTTCCTTTACTGAGCTTCTCACCGGTGGTCCAAACAGCAATGTCGGTAACAATAACAGTACCACCAGTCCAAATGGGTCAGGTCACCAAAACCCTGGTGGTGGAGGTGAATCTAATTTATTTCACAAATCGCCTCGACAATGGTCTTCAACTCCAATGGACTACTTTGCTACAGGACTTCTTGGTACATCCTCCTCCAGAACCCATCATTCAACTTCTGGGTTTTCCGGGCATATCCACTTGGGAAATTCTCTCCCACAGGCAATGGCCGTCTCTTCACCGTTCAACGTTACTGGAGAACACCATTCAGAACTGCAGCATTTCTCGTTCGTCCCAGACCATCTCGTCCCAGTCGCGACGGCGGCTGGGACAAATGACTACAACCGTAACTTCACCATCTCTTCCGGCCTTTCTGGTTTCAATAGGGGGACCCTTCAGTCCAATTCACCGCCTCTGTTGCCTCAAATTCAGAGGTTCTCTCCCGTAGACGGATCAAATGTACCACCCTTCTTCATTGGGACCGTGACTCCTAATGCTGCATCTATGGAGAATCATCATCAGTTCTCACCTGGATTTGATGGCCGCTTACAACTTTGCTACGGAGATGCTGGCCGTCAATCAGACCAGAAGGGGAAAGGAAAAAACTGAGTTTCTCTGTCTTAGCCACTCTTCATTTCTGGTAAGTGTTTGACAAAATAATCTAGTTTCAGCTTTTACAATGTGAAATTGTATACCATACATTTTGTGTTTATTCCTGTGCTCATAGGTTTTCCTTCCTCTTTCACATGGGTTTCCATATTCTTCGCTGTTGCTAAATTTTTCCGGGTGCCTTTTGGTTTGGGTTTACGTGTTGAAATACCATGAATTGTTTGATTTCTTGGTTCCGTAGAAAGCATTTCTATAGGGCATATTTTCACAGTGCTGCCTGTTTTGTTGTCTTTTTTAATTCGTGTGTGGATACCGGCGGATGGGAATCGGCTGATTGTCTCTTTGTTTGTTCTCTATGTTTCCCTTCTTTGTAGCATATCTAGCTCAGCCAGGTGTTAGGTGCTAAGTGAAAGGAACGCACTTTCGACAATGGCGAGGCTGTAGCAGACTCCTTTTTAAATCTTAAGTTTTCTCTCCCTTAGCTTGTACCCGACCTTTTATCACTTGAGAGTCAGTAGCGCCACACTAGCGCCACTCCACCTGGCAATTGATCGGTGCACTGTGGAGCTCTGCAGCGTCTTTTCTGGCGCAGAGTAGTTAATTAGTTAGGTGGGTCACATGGAAACAGACTTTAAAATTAAAACTCTTGGGTCAAATGCATGGACGTAGGCAGCCTCGCCATTACAACCACTAAAAAATGGTGGCTACAAACTTAATTTACAGCTTTATGTCCCTAAAGATGGGGAAAAAAGATAAATCAGGAAAAAATATGATAAATGGGAAATGTTATTTGAACCTTATTTAAAGACTTTATTTAGAGACTTAATGATATGACTTCAATAAGATCATTAGATTGGTTATGAGTTTCATCTAATATTGAAACTCACAACTAATCCAATAAATGCATTGAAATCACATTATTAGGTCCTTAAATAAAGTTTCAAAATAAAATTTCTATAGCATTGCTCAAGATAAATTAGATATGGTATAGTTGCTGATACCACATTATGTCAGGAATTTCCTATATCCTAATCTATTATGCATGCTTATTTTGTTTGCAATATATAGTCTTTTTTGAGGAACAGACAAATCAATAAATATAGTCAAGGCCAAAGAAACAATAGAAAGAACTACAAATTGTGTACGGAGTTTCTAGTTTATACTTGAGGATTTAAAGGGTGAGCCTTGGCGTAGAGCTTAGATTATTTTACTGTAACCTCAACGTAAAGTGTGTGTTGCGGAAACAACCTATTTGTCACTAGAGCGTAGATTTGTAAATATGACCCTCCCATTCCTGCATTAACAGGAGGCTTGTGCGTTGGACCACTACATTTTGATTGTTTGCAAATTGTGGCATTTGAAGATTCTATTTAGGCCGACACCATTAAGACTCATCTTGCAAGTGGTTATTTACGACTTGTTGGAAAATAAATTTGATATGTTAATTTATTGGGGGGAGTTGCGTAGTTTGCATATATGTCATCGATGCAGTGGGTAGTCTATATTCAAGTAGTGAAAGGCAAGCGTTAGTGGTATATTAATGTGACGTGTAATATAATTGTATTAGTGAGATGCTAATTCTCCAAGTAGTAGAGTGTTTATAAGAGTTGGTGGAAGTAGCTTATTAAAAAAAGAGTTGGTGAAAATAGAGGTTTGCTAATGTAATGTTAGGAGTCATATTTAAAATCTATAATAATAAGATATGCATTCTAACATTTAAAATAAGTAGAGTTGAGTTGAGGGAAAAGTTCAAGTTAATTGTATTGAGTTGTGCTCAAGGTTTTACGAAATTGTTTTGAGTAAACTTTATCAGAACCTCTTGAGGGTTGTCGCTAAATCAATTGGACCTCTAAGTATGAAAAATCACAATGACACCCCTTGTCTTTGATGGATAGGGAACAAAAGGGATGGGGATTTCAAAAAGACCAAAATATCATATTTAGTTGGCTTATATATCAAAATATACCCATGTTACAATTATATTAAAAATAAATCCAAACTTAAACCCAACACCCTAAATGACCAATGCTTGTTCCTTACCCTCATCCCTTGTCAACCATTGATATGCCTCTTGCTCACTCGCTCGCGCCTTCCCATTCAAATCTCGGTTAGGCTAGGTCTTCACTTCTGCGTGATTCAATTGTTGTAAAGGTGAACCTACGATTGACCTTCATTAGGATTGCCTTCGTCCTCCACCCTATTCCATTCTCCACTCTTCTATTAACAAAAGAATCACAATAGAAGACACTGCGCCGCTTGATTTAGAGTTGGGTCTTAGTTTTTGGCCAAGTTTAATGATGCTGAACTTACTGATTTTTTGCTTTAATTGTGACGAGCAATAGATGTTGTTGGTGATTGTGTTTTGGAGCAAGGTACAACATTGTTTTGGGGTGTTGCATAGTGGCTTAAGCACTGATGACAATGCCATTATTGATGGTGACTTGTCAAGTTATGCACGTGTTGGCTTGTGGGAATTTTTATGTTGTTGATTGGGGAAGCAAAACTAGTACGTGGTTTATTCCACTTGGTGGCAAAATTTGGTTTGGTTGGAATTATGTTAATGAGTTGCAATGGTAATGGGTTGGGTTGGATGGGTTACCAGCGACAATGATAGTTTGGGCGATAGTGGTGTGCGGCTTTTAAAGCTGGTGGCTAGGTTAGGTATACTTTGGGAAAGGGGTGTTATCGTCAGTGGAGGTAGGTGGATTTCAATTGGGTGTGCTTGGCGGAGAGGTTTTGGAATGGGGTGGAGAGGGTATTAAGTAAAACTTATTTTTGAAATTGGTGGTTTTTTATGAATTTTTTTTTTTGATATGGTAATAGTTTTACAAGTGGTATTTTTTGGTTTTTTTATGCTGACATAATTAAATGTTAATGGCATTTTGAACAGACTTAAATGATATGGATTTGAATGTTATACACGCACAAACCTTAATGGATGTCAATGTGAATTCTCATATCTCAGGGAATATGTATGATTTATCTATAAATTTTAGGGAGCCTGCATGTAATTTACCTTTTTTTTTTTATATTTGAGTGTTTAATCTCCTCTACTTCATTTCTTTCTGTTTTTAGTTCTTTTGACTTCAACAAATTTGTATTCGATACATGTAGGAGTAATTCCGATAAATTGGTATTAGAGCCAACTTTATAATCTATTAATTTAGATCAAAGAAAAAAGAAAAAAACAAGAAAGAAATATTATTGAGGCACGACTGTCCAGAACAACATTAAAAGAAAAATACATACAAGGAGTCTTTATATAGTAGGGCAACATAAAAGAAATCAAATGACTAAGTTACCCCTAAGTCTAAATATGCTAACTACTTTAACACCCTCCCTCAAATTCATGATGTGGTAGTAGAAAATATCAAAAATTTGCCAAGAAGAAAACGAAAGCGAGTGTTAGTATGCGACTTTGTGGAAAAATCTGTTAGCTGCATAATAGAAGAAAGAAGAGGGAGGGAGATAGTGCCCAATTGAAGATGATGATGTACAAAATGACAATCAATCTTAATATGCTTTGTGCGCTCATGAAAGACTGAGTTATAAGCAATCTGAATAGCACCAGTGTTGTCACAATACATAAGAATCGGTGCAGATAGCATGATGCCAAGATTAGCAAGGAGCCATCATAACCAAATTATCTTAGCTGCAGTAGATGCCATAACACGACATTAACTTCAGCAGATGAACGAGAAATAATAGTTTGTTTCTTGCTTTTTCAAGAAATAAGAGAATAACCGAGGAAAAGACAAAAGTCCATAGTGGACTTGCGGTCCATAGAATCACCAGCCCAGTCAGCATCAGAATATGCCTCGAGTTCCATAGAGGAGGGGGAAAATAACAAACTCTAATGCAGAGTACCTCGAAGATACTGAAGTAAACGAAGAACTGCAGTCCAGTGAACAGTGGTGGGTGAGGCAACAAATTGACTAACAATATGAATAGCATAGGAGATATCTGGACGAGTGACTGTAAGATATACTAAACTCCCAATAATAGCGCAATAGAGCGTAAGGTCAGATAGGGGAGTACGATTAAAAGGAAACGGACATTGAGCTCTAAAGGTGTTTTAATTGTCTGATTATCTAATAAACGAGTTTGTTGAATAACATTTAAAGCATANTTAGTTCTTTTGACTTCAACAAATTTGTATTCGATACATGTAGGAGTAATTCCGATAAATTGGTATTAGAGCCAACTTTATAATCTATTAATTTAGATCAAAGAAAAAAGAAAAAAACAAGAAAGAAATATTATTGAGGCACGACTGTCCAGAACAACATTAAAAGAAAAATACATACAAGGAGTCTTTATATAGTAGGGCAACATAAAAGAAATCAAATGACTAAGTTACCCCTAAGTCTAAATATGCTAACTACTTTAACACCCTCCCTCAAATTCATGATGTGGTAGTAGAAAATATCAAAAATTTGCCAAGAAGAAAACGAAAGCGAGTGTTAGTATGCGACTTTGTGGAAAAATCTGTTAGCTGCATAATAGAAGAAAGAAGAGGGAGGGAGATAGTGCCCAATTGAAGATGATGATGTACAAAATGACAATCAATCTTAATATGCTTTGTGCGCTCATGAAAGACTGAGTTATAAGCAATCTGAATAGCACCAGTGTTGTCACAATACATAAGAATCGGTGCAGATAGCATGATGCCAAGATTAGCAAGGAGCCATCATAACCAAATTATCTTAGCTGCAGTAGATGCCATAACACGACATTAACTTCAGCAGATGAACGAGAAATAATAGTTTGTTTCTTGCTTTTTCAAGAAATAAGAGAATAACCGAGGAAAAGACAAAAGTCCATAGTGGACTTGCGGTCCATAGAATCACCAGCCCAGTCAGCATCAGAATATGCCTCGAGTTCCATAGAGGAGGGGGAAAATAACAAACTCTAATGCAGAGTACCTCGAAGATACTGAAGTAAACGAAGAACTGCAGTCCAGTGAACAGTGGTGGGTGAGGCAACAAATTGACTAACAATATGAATAGCATAGGAGATATCTGGACGAGT